CTGTACATTCTCCCACTTTTCAAGCTAGACTTGAATTCAGCAACAGAGAAAGAACTAATACTTTCAGAAGCCAAGAATCAAATCATTTAAAAAACTAGGCCAGGTGTGGTGGTGCATGCCTGTAATCCCAGCACTCAGGAAGCTGAGGCAGAAGGATCACTGTGAGTTCGAGGCCAGCCTGGCCTATAAGGTGAGTTCAAGGCCAGCCTGAGCAGTATAGCGAGACCCTGTCTCAAAAAGATTAAAAAACCCCAGAAAAACAAAACACAGAAAAGCAAAACAAAACACCCCCCTCAAATCAAAATAAAACAAAATAAAAAGCAAGGAAGGGCCTTTTGGCTGATTTTTCTTCCCCTCATGTCCTGGTGGGGTCCAGAGATTGGGAACATGAGGGATGGTATGCTTCCCACCCTCTGCCTGGTCTCCTGTTCTCCAGTACGGAGACCTTGAGTGAAGGCTTTAGTGTGCTGAGTCCCAGGGGAATCTTTTTCCATTACAACTACTTGTACCCTGCCATGTGACATACCAAAATAAAAAGATAAATTACGTCTTATTTATATAATGATGTCTGTTATTATGTGTGACCATTAGTGGATTTTTATATGCTTTCAAAGCCAGAGGTATTTTATGCATGTTTATCAGATCTTCACAGTATGGTCTGCCATAAGTCAATGCATATGAAACATTTCATGGTTAAAAAAATTGAAAAAATTATAAAATAAAACTTAAATTCAAAAGATAACACTTCAATAACTTCTAGTGTTTCATGATTATAAACATATTGTAGATACAGACTTTTTTCTTTTTCTGAAAGATTTTCCTGTATGGGTAGATTCTCTTGGGTGGGACTTCTGGATCAAAGGAATTAAAGGCAGCTAACTTATCTTTAAGGAAGTTTCTAACAAGAGCCTGTCGATGAATTTATGCCTGCATTGGCATTTACTAATTTTTCTTCAATTCTGTCAGTTGCATAAAGTAAAGTGGCACTTCTGTCTTTAACCCATCTTCTCTTAATCACAAGTGACTATTTGTACTGGCAGATTATGATTTATATGTCTTGTATGATGGAAAAATCTATTACTATGCAGAGGTTTGGAGGCAAAATGCTAGCACCAAGAATTTTAAGGAGAAACCAGAACTTTTGGGAGTAAAAGAAAGCTGAGGTAAGAGGAGAGAGAGAGACAGAGAGAGACGGAAAGACAGAGAGAGACAGAGACAAAGAGAAGCGGGGAGGGAGGGGAGCGCAGGGGAGAGGAGGAAGACTCTTAAATTAGGTTGGCTTGTGACTGTTTCCACCCGTTGAGCACTGGTCTCTGGCCTCTAAACTGATCAGCAGGTCCCACACTGAAGCTTGAGGCTGTGCAGTGAAATACTGAGGACCCCTGAGACCATTCAGAGAGGGAGATGAGCTCTGCTGAACTCAGACTTCCAGCTGTCCCTGTCAAGGTGCCAGACCTGTGAGTCTCGGACTTATGAGATAAACTCAGTGTCTGCTGAAATCCACCAATGATCCCAGTTGAAGCGACAAGTTATGGGAGAATCCCCAAGTTCCTGACCCATAACACAGTGAAATAGGATAAAATGGTTGTTTAAAACTGCTACATTTGGGGGGTGGTTATCAAAGAGAAGCAGGGTAGCACAAAATTAACCAGTGGCCTGATCTTGACGATAGAGTAAGACACACAGGGAGCAGACCCCGAGTGAGGAGACCTTCAGCTGCCCTGGCCTGTGTTTGATTTTTGTCCAATTCCCAGCTCCTTTCTTTCGGATCAGCCACTTTTTCAGTGTCTTCACTGTTGTCATACAGCAACAGAAAAGTACAACGCCACGAAAAGTCCAAGTCTAAATAACGACGAGGCTTTTTCAGAAAATCATTTTCATGCGCTTTAAATTAGGATAATCCCTTGAGAATATCGCAGAGACCACAGAGCCTGTATTTGAAATGATGGTTGAAGAGCTGACATCGCTTCTGAGTGTAAGGCACATAAAACACAACAGCCTATTAATGGATCTTTGCAGCTTTTCCAGGTGTCTGATTACACATACTCTGGAATAGCTGTTAGAAGAGTTTTATCTTTTTCCAGCCTCGCTCCCCAGACATCTTTTAACTACAACTTGGATCAGTACCCAGGCCTTTTTATGGTCTGACCCAGTCATCTTCTTCTTTAAAAACAACTGTTAATTTCACAAAGAACAGCACTGAATTTCCCTTCTCTGGCCCTGCTCCCTTTCCCCTGACTCAGGGTGACATAAAACTTATCCTTACGGTATTCAGGAAAACTTATTTTAGTTTTTGATTATTGGCAATGGCTGATTACTCATATTTTGTTGAGAAACATTCATTCATTTTAAAAGTACACTGCCTTAGTATTAAAAAAGTTTCTAATGATAAAGCTGGTGATGGGTTAAAATTTGTGCATAGGGGCTGGGAATTTAGCTCAGCGGCACAGCGCCTGCCTGGCAAGCAAGGTCGTGAGTTCGGTTCCTGGGACAGGAAAAAAAAAAGTCCCCCTAAAAAAACACCCCCCAAAAATAAAATAAAATAGAATTTGTGCATAAATTTCTTCATTCTTTTTTAAATTTTGCTTTATCTTTCATAAGATACAAAAATCATAAAATTAAAGATAAGTGAAAAAGAGTTAGAGAAAGATAAACTGAGACAAATTGTATTTGAACAATGAAAGCTTTGCTGTTTCCTCTTATATCTTGTTCATTTTATTCAGATTAAAAAGTGATAGTAAGAAAACTACAACTTCTTTTATCTTACAGCATTCTGTAATCATTTAGTGATTAGTGGTGTAATAAACTCTATAGAACTTAGATGTATAGTTTCTCTCATTATTTTCCCTCAAAATAACTTTGAAATGAGAGAAAGTCATATTGTGTAAAATATCACATAAAATAATGGGAACTCGAAATTTCTTGGGCCATGATTTTACTCAGCTCATACAATGAAAGCAGGGGTTCACAAAGTGCAAATTGTTTTGCAACAGCCTTTAATTTTCCTTCTTTTGCTGCTTGTTTTATTTTTTATTTTTTTTTTTTGGGGGGGTTTCCCCAGGTACCGGGAATTGAACGCACGACCTTGCGTCTGCCAGGCAGGCGCTGTGCCACTGAGCTAAATCCTCAGACCCTGCTTGTTTTATTTTTTAAAGTGATTGTGTGTGTATGTGCGTGTCTGTGTGTGTTGGTAGGGCATACTGCAATCAAAGGAAGATTCAGAGCAAATGTTATCTTCAGGAATTGTGAATGATTCATTCTCAAGGGTAAAACCTTCTGAAATAGAAATGTCAAGTAGGTTCTTTACATACACATTCTAAAGCTGAAAGTCAGTATCAGATGAAATGTAAAAAGGGTAAAGAATTGATCTAGGGAACAAAGAAGGACGAGTTTATTTTTTAATTTTAATTTAATTTAATTTATTTATTTTTTGGTACCAGGAATTGAACTCAGGACCTTGTGCTTGCCACGCAGGTCTTGTGCCTCTGTGGTACATGCCCAGCTCCCAGGATGAGTTTATTAGCAAGGAGAAAACCTCTCGGATTGAGGGTGATCTTTGTGAGTGTAGATTTCAAATGGTTCATCTCCTTGGTCTGAAAGTCATACCAAGCTTTAATGAAACATACTCCTGGCATTATCATTTTCTTCTTCTAATGAAGAACAACTCATGTTTCATTCGCTGTATGGAGTCATGTGATAGAACACGTAGTTTACGATTCTCCGCGCACGAGATGGTGGCGTGGTGTACTGACGCCATTCCAGTAATAGGGATCTATGATCAACGTGAGTCGCCTCTCCTTTACACGGGTGAGATTTGCACTGAGGCTGTTGGATCTCCGCATGAAGAACCTCCGAGCTGCCCCAGGAAGAAAGGGGGGGCAGGAGGAAAGTGTGAGGAGAGGCCACTGCTGGGCCTCTGGTGCGTGTGGCAAATATTTCCCTCTGCTTATTGTCTCATTCATTTACATTTTAATTTTATGAATATTTGATCTGAATTTTAAAATTTGTATCTCTTGAAATACGCTTGTAATTTTATTCAGAATTTCTATCATTCTTTTTAAGATACCAGAAGGTCTCTTTTCTAGAGATCAAAATGGTACTAGTTTATTTTCTTCTACTGTTTTATGGTTGTGTTTTTACAATGCTCAGGTATAATGGCTAAGAAGGAAGATCATCCGCATTTGATTACTGGCCCCCATGCTTACTAGCAAATGGGATTGACTTATTTCAACCCCAGATTGCCAATCTGTAAAATGGGCATAATTATAGCATGCATCACAGGTAATTAAAAGTAGTTTCTGTGAAATATTTATATTAGAGCTTGGCACTCACTGATATCAATAACTGGCAATTATTATAAATTTTGTTATCAATAATATAATATCAGATAAGGTGCCTTTTAACATGCTTTTTTCCCAGTGGCTGCTGCTTCTAAGAGAATCCAAACATTACTTCTTTCCCTTTTCCCATTGTATTCAAAGTGATTTCAGCCCATATTACGTGCCTGTGTACGCCAATGCTTATTTCAGGTGTTTTGCTCATTTGTCAGTGTATGCCTATCTGTACCACATTGTTTCAAATACTGTGGTTTATAACATTTAATAACATTATACAGGAAGAATGTGTATAGAATGCATTGTTCTTTTTGCCAAGAGTCAAGATTACTTTCCTGTTTGTTTAAAGTTGCATTAAAACATTCAAGGTTGGCGATGTAGCTCAGTGGTAGGGCTACATCTTGCCTAGCATGGATGAGGCCCTAGGTTTAATCCTCAACAGCGTATTATTGGCAAAATGCTCTAGGTGTGTATTACCCAAGACAAAGGTGGCTAATGTCAGCTAGTGTGTGAAGTGGTTGTAAACCATCTAGGCAAGGGTTTAATGGTTTAATGGTTTAATGGTTTAAACCGTTAAACTGTTCTGGGTGCCAACTCTTGATTTTCTTTTTGAGGATAATGCTTTTCTAAACCCAACTGGAAAACAAAGGGAAGGAACTACCTTACCTGTCCACGCTGAGAGCACAGAGATTGAGCACAGTGATCCCCACGGAGGACTTCTGCAGGAAGGGGAACAGCTTGCATAGAAATACACCGAATTCATTGTGGTCAAAAGGCCAGCGTCCCGCCAACAGCTGAGAAAAGGAGACATGGTAAAAAGAAATGGCAGAGCTAGCTTGGAGTACATGGCCACTTATATTTCTAGTTGCACATCCCAGTTTCTAAAGGTTATATTCATTGTGCTTTCCAGCTAGCATAGTACTGGTGGAGTGTTGTTCACATTATTTTTTTATCACACTTTTCCTAGACCCAATAAATTTGGGCTCAGAAAGATATGGAAAATATAATGTTACATATTATAATTATGTACATATTCATATTATAAAATACTATATTAATAGATAATATACCAATATATTATAAAGTATATATTATACATTAAATGTATTATACATATTTTATATACCAATATATTATATATTTATATTCCAATATATTATATTTTATATACCAATATATTATAAAGTATATATTATACATTAAATGTATTATACATATTTTACATGAAGTATGCAATACAAAATAGAGTTTGCTCTCATACAAAGTCATACAAAGTCATCATGTTAACTTTTTTTTTGTATGTTTTTGAGACAGGGCCTTGCTATGTCGTTCAGGCAGGCCTTGAATTCCCAACGATCCTCCTGTCTCAGCCTCCCATGTTCTGGGATTACAGGCATGTGCCACCATGCCTGGCTGCCTACTTTTTAATGAATAGCTGAAATTTAGGATTTGGGGTAACAGTTTAACTGAGAAGCAGGCAGTAGTCTCTTATCAAATCTTACCAAACCATGAATAAAGTAAGTCATTTCATCTAGTGGCATTGGAAAATTATATTATCTCCTGATAAATAAGCAAAATTATAGATGAGAGATTATGGAGAATACTGGCAAAATGAAGAGGTTGTGATGTTCTAATTTTGCCAGCTGGTTAGCTTTTAAACTTAAAATTTCCTCTGTGCTTCAGGGGCTGACTCTGCTTCAGTGAAAGTGACATAAGTGGCTTGTCTTTATGTGGACTTAAATTTGTCCTTATCATACAGAAAAATAAAATTATGTGATATGTTTACGTGGAAAATCTATTCTTTCATGTTGACAATTTCAAATCTTGGCCCCAAGGCAAGGGGGCAGTGGACACTGTATAGTGGCTGTGTTATTAAGAGGGTAGTAGCTAGCTAGCAATCTTTTGTGACTCACTGATATTTATCTAATTCTGTACTATACCAGGAACATGGGCTTAAATAATTTCTCTATCAGAGGGAGTGATGTCCCTGTGGAATATATGATACTTTTTGAAGAGTAAAAGTGGTATTGGTTTCCTTTCTAGTTTTTGCTTAGTGACTCAGCATTTAAGCTACTCTATTTAATGGGCAACAGTATCCTACTGACATGGCATGTTTGACTTTTCTTCTTCTTCTTCATTTTTGTTTTTTTTGGCTAAGTACTTTTTACCATAGTAATTCTCAGTTGAGCTTTCAATTTCTATCCTACTACTTCTGCAAGATTGTGTGAGATTTAATTTCATGGCTACTGTGTCATTAACATGATCCTATTGAAAAAGGCTGGGAAACCTGTGTCCCCAAAACACAAAATCAGAATCTTATGCATTTTGAGAATTTAGTAACGTAAGACTCCATAGTTCTATTCTTTTTTTTTGGTACCAGGAATCGAACTCAGGACCTTGTGCATAATAGGCAGGCACTTGTGCAGCTGAGTCACATCCCCGGTTCCTCCATAGTTTTATTTTTATGGCTAAGCCCACATATGACTTCATTTTAAAGGTTGTCCCTTTTTAGCTTTCAAATAAATTTCCATTATTCTGAATAGTTTTTTGAAGGAACCATTTCCTTCTATCCAACCTGCCTCTGTTCTCTTCATCATCTCATTATAACCAGCCTAGACTGGGGTCTTAGAATTTTGACACAAATTTTTATCTAAGGAGAAACATGAGGCTATACAGAAATCCTGCCCTAAACTGACATGTTAAGTTAACAAATAATTATACCATTGGTGAATGCTGGCTATTCATGCCCGGTGCAAGCAAAGACACAAAGTGCTCTTTCTGAGACAAATTACTGCTATAAAAACAAGAAAATCTGAAAATGACTTCTAATAGAATAGGAGTTTAGTATTTTGGCTTAGAATTGTAATTCTTCTCTAAAGACAACAGCGTTGTAATTAGAATATGTAGGGATTGTTATGGACTAAGCCTTGGGGGAGCTGAACTGTTCCTATTGTCTCATTCTCAGAGAGTAAGGATTCTGTTTTGTTTTGTTTTGTTTTGTTTTTTCTCCGGTACCTGGAACCGAACTCACGACCTTGCGCTTGCCAGGCAGGCACTTTTGCCGCTGAGCTAAATCCCCAGCCCCTGAGAGTAAGGATTCTGAAATATACACAGATGGATTTTCCAATTCACACATGCAAAAAAGAGAAGAAAGAAAAGGAAGCTTCATACTTAATAAGAGAGATTCTGAAATCCTGTGATGCTCTAAGTTATAAGTGCTAATATAATGATCCCAAGAAAACCTACCACTGACCATGGGGTTCTTCTAATCTCAATTAATGTTTCTTCCTTTTTCATGCTTCCTTAAGCTTTTTACTAGGGTTAGGTCAGGGTTAGGTATGAAAGAAAAGATGTCATAGAATTGGAGGCAGCAAAAAATTCATCTTTCTTTGACACAAATAGGTATAGTTGTGATGTTATTTTTCTTTTTCTCAGGAGTGAGTACTGATTTTCCATGGGGATTGTAGACAAAGGCATGTGAAATAAATCCCTGCAAGGAATTTTAAGATATAACCACTTCATTATCTTACATATACTTCATTCTGAAAGGATGCATGGATAGTAATTGCTCCAGTGCTTCCAGGAGAAAGTTAGGCCCTTGACTGTAGGAAATTTTTTTCTTCTGTTTCTCTGGTTGAAACTGATTTATTAAAGACGCCTTCAGTTTGGGTCATGAATGTTAACCAAAGGCCCCTGTATTGAACATTTGGTCCAGTTGGGAGGCAGTAGAACCTTTAAGGGATGGTCTTGGAGGAAGGAAGTGAGGTCATTGTGCGCATGTGCTTGGAGTGGGCACTGGGAACAAGCCCTTTTTCTTCCTCCTTCTTTGCTTCCTGCTCCCTTGTGCAGTTCCTTCCGCCATGTACTCCCACCAGAATGTGCTGCCTTGGTGCAAGCCCAGAGGGGACTGATGACCATCAGCTGGAACCTCCAGAACCATAAAATAAAGCCTTCCTCTTTTTATGTTGATTTTCTCAAACATTTTGTAACATTCCCCATGAATTCCCCAATCTTAAGTAGGACACACTTGTTTAATCTCTTTCATGGAACAAATATTGGAGCAATCTTGCATTTGAAGTTTCTTTTTAGCCAACTTTGTTTTAGTAATAAACAAAAACAAAAGAAGGGGTGCATTATGGAGGCAAATGTAGCTCATCTGTTTTTTCTCTTATTTACAAAAGACACTTTGGAGCTTTGGAAAGACTACCTTTTACCAGCACTAAAATTGAAAATATAATGCTAAAATGGTAAAAATAATTCTGTATAATTTTTTGAGACAGGGCCTCACTCTGTAGTTCAGGCTAGCCTTGAACTCACTATGTAGCCCAGGCTTGAATCAAACTCATGGTGATCCTCCTGCCTCAGTCTCCCAAGTGCTGGGGTTACAGGCATGCACCACCACATCTGGCTTGTATAACAAAACATAAGTCTCTTTCCTAAGATCCTAAACTCCTTGCCTACAGGCAAACACTTAACTGCCACGTATTTTCTTTCAAAAAACTTCATATATACATAAAAGTGTAGGCTTTTAAAAATGATTATGAACACATGGACATAATTTTTTAAAACAATCTATTATGACCTCTATTATGACAATCTATTATGGTCATAATAGCCAAAATTCTCAGGCTAATTTTGTGGAAACTCAGAGGTTTTGATTTTTGATAGCACACTGATGAAACAATGTAGACTAGGATCGGAATGAATGACTAGTTACAGTAATATTTATAACAAGGCAAAATAGCTGGTTGATTTTACTAATAGCAACAAGCTATGACCAAGTCAATGAAAGAGAAACCAACTAGTAAGACGAAGTGACACATTAAATTGGTTCAAAGGGTTATTCTGGAACGTCAGAGTAGTTAGAGCTTATTTTGGGCATAAAAGGGGCTATATTATGTAACACTTGTATTTATATCTTTCCAAAGATGTCATGTAGGTTTTGAACAAACAAATCCACCTAACAGATGAATCAGTGACTCCAAATAATTACTTTAAAAACATTTTATATCTTCCAATTAGTATCATTTTGACCCATCTTGTAATTTATATTGTATTTCGAAGTTGTTTACCAGTGTCTCGACGCAGTAGTTCCACTATTTATGTTGAAAGAAACAATACACACCCCCTCTAATCTCTGGAGGAAGTGGCACTTTAGCTTGATGTGTGAGTCACAAGCTCTTTGCTCACAGGTCTCTGCACTGGCAGGGGTCTGGGAGACAATGCTCATTCTGTGGTCTCCATGCACACGGTGCTCTCCTGTTCTCCAGGAGACCCAGATGAGCACTACAGAAGGAATTGCTGAGACAGCAGAGGGTAGTCTGCTGAGCATAGCTTGTGTGTGTGTATGTGTGTGTGTGTGTGTGTGTGTGTGTGTGTGTGCACGTGCATGTATATATGTGTGTGTGGTACTGGGGACTGAACCCAGGCCTTGTGCATGCTAGGCAAGTGCTCTACCACTAAGCTACCTCCCTAGTCCTTTTCTAAAAAGTTTTATTTTGAAACAGGGTATTGCTAAATTCTCCAGGCTGACTTCAAACTTGGGATCCTCCTGTCTCAGCCTCCTGAGTACCTGGGATTACAAGGGTGTACCATCGTGCTGGATAGGCACGGCTTTTACTGGAGAATACTTGCCTTTACTCTCTAGCCATGTGGATTTTTCTTCAGGTGAAGTGTATTTAAGATCCCTGATAACTAACTGAAAGTTAAAGCAACTCTAACATGGCACAAATTAATGTACGAATTTTGCATTCATGTGTTTAACTCGGATTGTGTTCAAATTAACATCATAAAA